CCGGCGGCCATCAGCTCTGTGCTCATCCGGGAGGAAGACGGCATCCAACATGCCATCTTCTACGTTAGCAAGACTCTAAGGGAGGCCGAGCTCAGGTACTCCCCTGTGGAAAAAACGGTGTTAGCCATCGTTTGGACTGTCAAGAAGTTGGGCCACTACTTTCAGGCTCACCCGGTTCAGGTCCTCACCCATCAACCCCTCGGCGCCCTCATGAGGAGCCCCACCAGCTCCTCCCGCATGGTGAAATGGGCTATCTTCTTGAGCCAGTACAACATTGACATCCGTCCGAGGCCTGCCATCAAGGGCCAAGCCCTGGCAGACTTTGTGACGGAGTGTACCGCAAGGGCAGCCACGGACGGGGAGCCCTCGGCTACCTCGGACGACTGGTGGACCCTCTACACTGATGGCTCCTCCGCGACCAAAGCATGCGGAGGAGGGGTAGTCCTCATTACTCCCGAGGGATTCAAGGCCTACTATGCAATCCGCTTCTCCTTCAAAGTCTACAACAATGAGGCCGAATATGAGGCCCTCCTATGTGGCCTTCGGCTGGCTGCCAACATGAGGGCTCGGCAGATCCACATCAAATGCGACTCCAAGTTGGTCGTTGGCCAAATCTCCGAAGAATATGAGGCCAAGGAGGGAAGAATGAAACAGTACAAGGAAGCGGCCAAGGAGTTGCTTAAGGTATTTGAGGCACACTCTCTTACTCAAATACCGAGGGCTCAGAACTCCGAGGCCGACATATTATCTAAGCTCTCGGACGACTCCCCCGAGCACATCTCCAAAATTGCCAAAATCTAGGAACTCAGCCTCTCAAGCATCCATGCAAGCCCCGTGATGAACATACAACAACGCCAAGAGGATTGGATCTCAGATATCACCGCCTTCATCTCCACAGGGCAGCTACCCGAGAATGAGGCCCGCGCTAAACTGGCAAAGCTGAGGGCTCCCAGCTACACCATTGAAGATGGGAGGCTCTACAAACGATCCTACAATGGCACGCTACTTCGGTGCCTTCATCCAGATGAAGCCGAGGTCGCAATGGAAGAAGTGCACAGTGGCACTTGCTCAGCTCACCAGGGACCCTTCTCCATGTCCCGAAGGCTCATCCTCCAGGGTTACTTCTGGCCAACCATGGCCAGGGATTGTGCTGACCTTGCCCGGAGGTGCACCGCGTGTCAACATTTCCAGAAAGCCCCCGGCAGGCCAGCGGTCAACTATGCCCCCATCAGCACGTCTGTCCCTTTTTCTCGATGGGGGATAGACCTTGTGGGCCCTCTGCCGAGGGGTACCTCCAACAACAGGTACATCATTGTGGCCGTCGACTACTTCACCAAATGGGTGGAGGCTGAACCCCTCGCCAGCATCACCGAGGCGAGGTGCCGTCACTTCATCCTCAAGAACATCCTCACAAGGTTTGGCGTCCCCCAGCAGATCATCTCCGACAATGGGACACAATTTGAGGCAGCCCCCTTCTGTGCCCTTCTGGAGGCATGGGGCATCAAACACACCTTCTCCTCCGTTGCCTACCCTCAAGGCAACGGGCAAGTAGAGAATGCCAACCGGACCTTGCTCGAGGGCCTCAAAAAGAAGCTGGAGGCCGAGGGCGGTGGCTGGGTAGAAGAACTTCACAACATTCTTTGGGCCTACCGCACCACCCCTCGGCGAGCTACAGGTGAAACACCTTTCTCCCTCTGCTACGGTTTTGAAGCCAAAGCTCATACGGAAGTCACCCTTCCTACCCGAAGGGTGATCCAGTATGACCCCGAGGTCAACGACAGCAACATGGCCCTCGACCTCCACCTCATTTCAGAATGCCGGGAGCAGGCCTTCATCCGGGCAGAAAACTACCGAAGGCAAGTTAAAAGCTACATCGACGCCAAAGTTCGAACCCGAGAATTTCAAGTGGGGGACTATGTCCTCCGGAGGAGGGAAGCCAGCCAACCAACCGAGGGAGGAAAAATGGCACCAAAATTCGAAGGCCCCTACATCATAGCAGCCATCATCAAACCCGGGACCTACAAGCTCAAACGCCCCAATGGGAAAGAAGTCCCTAAGCACTGGAATGTACACCATTTAGTTAAATTTTATCAATAATGTAAGAGCGGGCAAGCCCTCATGACTAGTGAATGTACTATCCTATGGCCCAAGGCCTCCAATTTCGAAGAATGAAGATACATTCAAGACATCAAGCCCTCATACTGACTACAGGCCCCCGACCTCACCACGAGAAGAACCCCCTCCGGCACCAAGTGCCGAGGGCGGACACCATCAACACCTACAACAAGCAGTGAAAACACCGCGTGTTTTCAGTCAAGACCCCTCGGCACCCAGTGCCGAGGGAGGGAACTCCTATCACCAACAACAAAGAACGCCATATAATCTCCCTTCGGCACCAAGTGCCGAGGGTACATCCCCCCCTTCAACACCAAAAAAGAAAAAAAAAGAGAACACCAAGTGTTCCCACAGAGGACCCCTCGGTACCAAGTACCGGGGGCTACACATCGAAACTAACACCAAATGTTGTTTCTAAAAGCCGTACCCCACGAGGACGCATATACCGAAGGCGCCACCATCGGTGCCGGCGGTACGTAGTGCCCCCGGCCATTTGCAACTAGTGTGCAAATGAAAACCCTTCCTTGAAACGCTTTCCGTGTCACTACCCCCAGGGTATGACAGGCAGGAGAAATGCCCAGGATTCGACTTTCAAAAACGGAACGTTATCCGCGTCATTACCCCCAGGGTATGACAGGCATGAGAAATGTCCAGGATTCGACTTCCAAACCGAAACGCTCCCCGCGCCACCACCCCAAGGGTGTGGCAGGCCACAGACTATGTCTAGCGCCGAGGGGACGACTTTCAAAAATGAGGCGCTTTCCGCGCCATCCCCCAAGGGGAGGCAGGTTACGGACCACCATATCTTGTGCCCAGGAAACGTCCCTCGATCCCCTCGGCACTCGGAAGGTTAACCCGAGGGAGGAGAGCCATTGGTGTATTCTGATGGTCTCCTAATAGGCCCAGCCTTACCAAGAAACCAAGTTTCTTGATGCCTTCCCTTCACCACCAAAAAAAAAAGGGGGGGGGGGGGGGGGGGGGTGAAGGGGAGTAGACTCAGCGAGAAATCAAAGAATACACTCCAACAAAATCACAACATGCCGAGGGCTCCCCACGGGAACACCTCCGGTAATTGAAGACTCCTATTTCCCGAAGGATACTACTCAAGGAAATATCATCAGGAAACGACTAAGTCCACTACCTGGTCACCTCCGGTCACAAAGACACCGAAGGCTTCAACAACACAAAGGGACTGGACTGTCCAAGGTCCACTAAACGGTACTTCAAACAAACACCGAAGGCATCCGTTATGCACAAATACCGAGGGCCCTTTCCCCATGACAAGGATCAAATTCTACGACTTTTAGAGTGTATGCCGAGGGCACACACTCCTCATTGGCTTTCTTCACGACAACAGGATTCAACATCAATTTATGCTTAGAAAAAATTCTAAGTCCTGAAGGAGCAGCCCCCGGGCACCCGAAGGCTACACAGGGAAGCAGCACTTGAAAAAATTCTAAGTCCTAAAGGTGGAGCCCCCGGCCCAATCAATATTACAGCCAAGGGAATATGGTGGCCGAAGGCCATGCAATACAACAACACTTAAAAAAAAAGAGGGTATTCTGTCCTAAATGAGTAGCCCCCGGGCATCTCGCAAAGTGATGTGGAATCAGAGGGCACCCATCACCCGAAGGCACCCAAGGGAAAATTCACACTTAGAATATTTTCTAAGTCCTACATGTATTTCCCCCCCGGTCAACTATTCATACATCAAGGAGAGATGCCATCTACCGAAGGCTCCCAAGGGGGATTTTACACTTAGAATATTTTTTAAGTCCTACATGTATTTCCCCCCCCGGTCAACTACTCTTACATCAGGGAGGGATGCCATCTACCGAAGGCTCCCAAGGGGGATTTTACACTTAGAATATTTTCTAAGTCCTACATGTTTTCCCCGGTCAACTACTCATACATCAAGAAGGGATGCCATCTCCCGAAGGCTCCCAAGGGAGACTTTACACTTAGAAGATTTTCTAAGTCCTACATATTTCACCCTCATCTCAAGGGACCTAATTGCCGAAGGCTACCTATCAATCGAGGGCTACAGTTCACAAGGAATCAACACTCAAGAAAATCTTCTAAGTCCTAAAAGAATTAGCCCCCAGCCTATTCAATATTACAGGTGGGGCTCCACAGTAGCCGAAGGCTACATGGCATACTACACTTGCAAAAATCTCTAAGTCCTGTGCATTGGGCCCTCGATCCAACATTCACACATCAGGAATGGGCGCCGTATCCCGAAGGCTCTCAAGGGGGAATCTACACTTAGAGATTTTTCTAAGTCCTAGGAGGTGGGTTACTACAAATGCCCGAAGGCCTCATGCTGTGCTACACTTAGAAAAAATTTTCTAAGTCCTAATTGCTGCCGAACCATCGGTTGCATATCCAGCAGAGGGTTCCCAACTACCGAAGGCTCCTAAGGGCTAGCTACAATCAGATAGTATTCTAAGTCCTAGACATACATTCAAAGGAGAAGGCATACATTCAAAACATAAGGCGTATTCGAATATGAAAAGCCCGGAGGCAGCATGCATTTCATCAAAAACAAGAGTAAGTGTGAATTTACAAACGGGCCGAAGCCGAAGGAACAATGTTGTTCATTACAAAAGATGTTCAAAGATTTCTGAGTACAAAGTCATTCCACAACTACGACAGCATCGTTCACTGGGGCGCCCTCTACAGCCGGCCTCGATGATGCCTCCGCTCCGGTCTCGACAGCGTCGTCCTCGGCCTCATTCTTCAACACCGTGTCCTCAAGGTCGGGCCTCTGAACACCTTCCGGGAGCGGCTCACGGACATCAGGCTGCAAGGGAGGAAGGCCATACGCCGAGGTGGAGAAGTCCTTTTTCTCAATGCCCAAATGCCGGGCCATCCTCCGGTAGATGAGGGCCTGGGTGAAGAATTCGCCGGCTTCATAGTACTCTCTGCCCTTCCGGGCCATCCATTCCCACCCAGGGCCCTCGGCCCATTCTTCAACGCAGGCCTCCACGACCGAGGACACCCACATCTTGCGCCCCTCGGCTCTCCAACCCTCGGCGACAAAGGCCTCAACGGCCTCCTCCTGAGCCTTGGCGACAGCTAGCGCTTTGGAGTCCTCGGCCTCTTTAGCAGCTCTCCTGGCAGCGGCCTCAGCATCAGCCTTGCCTTTCTCTGCAGCCTCCAGTTTCAAGCTCATCTGCCGGAGCTCCTCTTCTAGCTGGGCCCCCAGCTTCACCGCCTCTTGGTTCTTGAGGAGGCACTCCCTCATTCTGGCGTCTTGCTCCGCTCTGTGGAGGCGCCATTCTTGAAGCCTCCGAGCCTGTTCGCCGAGGGCTAAGCAAGCCTGCAGAACAACAACAAAAACAGTTAAAGGCAGTCACACAAAATAATAAAAGGAGAAGATGGAGAAAGCCAGGTAAACACTTACAGAGAGGGAGGAGCGGAGAATGTGGTCCTCGAGGGCCGCATCATTATAGGCCCCGAGGGCAGCCCTATCCGTCTCAGGGGTCATACCCCTCAGGATGGCCCCCGGGTCGACGGCGCCGCTGACCAAAGATGTACCTCTCGGGAACACGACTGTGAGGATCTCATGCAGCGACTCCTCTGCCCCCGCCGGCGTTCCACCCGGCAGCTTCTCCACCTGCACCCCGGAGGCGGGGGGCTCATCAGCTATAATGACCGAGGGCTCCTTCTCGGTGACATCCCCCTTTTTCGGCTTTTTGGTAGCCGGGGGGGACCCCTTGGCCACTGCCTTCCTCTTGCCGGCAGCGGCATCGCCCTCGGCTTTCTTAAAGAGGGCGGTGGCGGGCTTCTGGATGCCTTGTCCCGACCCCTTCGGGTCCTGTTTCTTCAAACGGGCAAGGCCCTTTACATTCACCATGGAGACGGGGATACCTGCACAGAGGAGACAAAGGGTTAGTCCGACGGGTCTAAGCGAAGGGACGATAACATCCAAGAAAAAGAAAAAAAAAACTAAGTACAAAATTCTAAAGCCCTCGGCTCCTACCTCCGGCCCCTCCGAAGGCCTTGTTGAAGGGAGGGTACTTTTCATCGGTCTCCCCTATGAAGCGGTACCTCCGGAACCCGAGGGTGTACAAATCCTCCTCGAGGGTGCAGTCTTTGATCGCCACGTTCTTGTTTTTCTCCTCCGGGAACTTGGCCAGCTTTAGGCCGTCTTTCTCGAGAGCGGCACTCCGGATCTTTTCGTGCCTTCGGAATCGGTCACTTAGCTCCCTCGGGAAGGGGCTCTCATCCAACTTCACGTAGCACCAACGTTCCCTCCATCCTTTGTTGGAAGAAGGAGCATCGGAGAATAGTTTGAAGCGGGCAATCTGCTGCAGGTTGGCGTACCCCTCGCCGTTTTCGTGCCCCCCCGGCACAGATTAAAGCTCTGGAAGAATAGATCCAGGCTGGGTTTCACCCCTCGGGACTTGCAGAGCTGGAGGAACCCCGCAATGTAGGAGTGGCTGTTGGGCGTGAGTTGGCAGGGGACCAAGCCAACAAACCGCAAATATTTCCGGAGGAATGGGTGCAGAGGGAACCTGAGTCCCATGGAAACCGAAAGGACGTGAATAGCAATACACCCCTCGGGCGCCCTGGACAACACGTCGTCGGGACCTGGCTCCACCACTTCGGCCGAGGGCCCCACGTGCAGCTGAGTCACGTACAGATCTGCCCTGTCGGCCTTCGACCTGATCTCGAGGGCCTCAGTGTTCAGCCAACTGTACCCCTCGGGCATGTCTACGGGCTTTCCTTGATCGACGGCCCTCTCCTTCTTCTTGGTAGCGGCCTTCTTCTTCTTCACACCGGAAACCGCCCTCAGAGGTATCGGATCCAACGACCTCGAGCTACTGGCCTCCCCGGAACCCCGAGGGGGGAGGACAGCGATCGTAACCTTCGAGCTCTCATTATGTGCCTCATCCTCCGCTGTCTGCCAGGCGAGGGCTAAGTCTTCATCATCGCACTCCTGCTCGAAGCCCTCGGCTTCAACCTCCGCAGTGAGTTCCTTCTGGACCTCCCGGGCCAGGGCTGCATCACCACAATCCGAGGGCTGACCACTGCTTGACTCCACATCGGAGATGCCTTCGTCCTCCATCGAGGGCGTCCTCGAGATGTCCTGAGAGTCACTCTGGGACGACATTCGCACCCTTGTTCGAGGGCTCGTAGACGGTAGTGTTTCCTAACTTTTCTATCTCCTAAACTAAGGGCACAGTACAGCTATGCTAGAAGGAGAAAGGCAGGGAACACTGACCTCGAAAGCTGAGTTTTGACCGAAGGATGAACTTTCTCTCTCTAGAAAAATTGACAGAGCTTCGCTAACAAGTTTATCGCACACGGAGGAATGCCTGGCCTTGGGGTATTTATAGGCGATGAATCCGGGCTTGGGCCTGGATTCCGGGCCTCCGGATGGACGCCATCATGACACACCGCCGTTTCACCCAACCGGTGACGCCGCCCACGGACAACCAGCCATCACACGCCACGTGTGCCACCCCCCAACGGCTATATCCTGTCGTTACATATTCCAACGGCTATATTTTCAACGGCTATATTTTGGGAACCCCCGGGTTTTCTACTTCACTCCACTTCATCAAGGATAGCCTCCGGGTGCACTCACCCAGAAGTGCCCCCGGGTTGTGCCCCACACCGCACATTACACATGCCTTCGGGATCACTCCTTCAGATCCCTAGGGCTGCATATCAGGGTAGCCCCTGGGGAGTGCCTCATTGACGGATGGCCCATGGCCCTCGGGTATCTTAATCACCACTTCATCAACAAACAGTGGACCCCCCGGTAACAGCTTCACTGCTGCCCTCATCTGGCAGGCCCTCGATCCCTGGATTGAGGGGCTCCCCTTCGGCGCCACCATGACATCAACAGCCAGCCTTCGGCTAATCAACACATGAGCCCTCAGAAGAGAGAGCCTTCGGCATTCCCGCCATTCTCCATTTTTTACCAAGGTTTGACATTTTCGATTCATCATTGGGGGAATTCAGTGCACTCTTTTTCCCTCATTAGGATTTTTTCCCAAAGGGTTTTTCCTAATGAGGTTTTTAACGAGGCATCCCCCCAAAATGAAACGAAAAGCGTCAGCCTTCGGCCCACAACAACAACGTAACTACTTTACTCCTTTTCACCACTTTACAAGTGCCTCAAAGAGTGGGGGACTGGAGGACCCCTTCGGGAAAATCATTAAATTACAAAATCTGTGAAATTCCAACAAACAACAAAGCAAGCCCTCAAGTCCCGACATGTGGGTAACTGAGGGACTGCCTTCGGCAGGGACATAAAAGCAACAACTCCTCACCAACTTCAGAGATCACAACGGGACAACATCAAAGGGCAAGCACAAATTACTCCTTTTCCCTCAAGTACCTTTCGGCAAAAGGAGTGAGGGACTCCTGATGGAGTATATGGCCCGGGAACCCCCGGCCCACAGACTCCTACTACTCCAGCAAAGGCCCAACAGGCCCAAAAGGCCCAACAGGCCCAATTCACAGCGCCCGGAGTACCAAGCAGTCCGCACAACGCACGGGGGTGCCTTCGCCCCCCTGGCCGAAGGCTCCAAATTCTCACAGAACGGGTTTCTCAAGCAAACTAAGAAACTGGGAGAAAACGGCGAAAACAGCAGCCCTCGGCACTGTGAGCCCTCGGCACCAGGGGTGCCATCGGGAGGAAGAGCCCTCGGCTACTGCTCTATAGCCGAAGGCATCTCACTCGACAAGATATCCGCCTCACATGCGTACAGATCACCGTACTCTGCACAGACGTCCCATCCAACAGCCGCATTAAATGCGGCCACATGCGGCTGCCAGCGCCAACCAGTTGAGGTGACCCCTCGGCCAATGAGCGCTTGACACGTGTCCCTGCCCGGCATTTATTGCTACTATAAATAGCACCCCATTTCCCCATTTGTAACCACGCAAAAAATACATATCGAATATACACACTCTCTCTCACTTGTTTGCTCTGACTTCTCTCTAAATTATTCCCCGTAATAACCCTTCGGATATATACCCCCGGGTAGACTATCCATCATACACCATCAAAACATTAAGATATATTATAAAGCAAAAACTTACATATAAAAGTCATTCAACAATTCTATAGATGTACTCTCCTAGGCTTCATTTGTTGGAAATATTCTATAATAGAATCATCACTAATAGTACCAAAAACATCTCTCTCAACATATGTAACTAAGCAATCATTCAACCATTGATCGCAGATCTTGTTGCGCAACTCATTCTTCACAAACTTCATGCTTGAAAACGCCCGTTCAACACTTGCTGTAGCTACTGGGAGAAGTAGAGATAACTTAATAAGTGTATACACGTGCTGATATGTGAGATGCTTCTTCGTGGAAACCATTTCAATTGAAAGGTCTAATAAACCATTCAAATCAGAAAATCTATTATCAGAACGGACATCTAAAATATAATTCTCAAGCTGATTCTCGAGTATCTTTTGATCAACGTCAGAAAACTCTTTTGGATAAAATTATGCCAATTTAAGCAAAGATGCCCTATCAAAAGCTTCAAACGAGGAGGAAGGACATAAACAAGACACACAACGCAATAACTCAGTGCTTGCCACATCAAACCTGCTATCAAGCTCAGCCACAAACAAATTAACAATCTCATGTAAACAATCATACTTGTAATGATGCATGTTCGTTATACTCGGTGCCCTGCGTTTCGATCTTTTTCCTTTGATGTAGTTCTGATCCATTGAAGGCACATCTATATGAAATTTGTTACAAAAAGTAACAACCTCATCAAACAAAGCACCCCATCCAATATCTGTTTTCATTGCCGCTAAACGTTGTTTGACAACTGTGACTAGTTTCAAAGCATTCACAAGATCTTGTTCACGCCTTTGCAATGCCTGTGAAAGATCATGTGTAATGGGCAAAACATTGATCATCAAATGAAGCATGAAACAAAATTCAAAAGTTTGCAATTCATTCAACAATGAAGTGGCTTCACCACTTTTATCACGGTCTTCCAAATCTTCGAGCACCTCAATCACAGATTTAAATAATTTTTGCAAATTAAGCAATGATTTGTAATGAGAACTCCATCGTGTATCACCTGCTCTGACAAGTGCTAACTGTTGATTCAATCCTCTTCCTGTTTTTACTAGTCCAGCTTCTAAAGCACTTATCAAATCACTTGCTTGTTTATCTCGAAGGCATTCTTGTCGCTTATTTGATGAGCAGATCTCATTAATTACACGACTAACATGAAGAAGTAACCAATTAACCTCATGTTGTCCTTTAACAGTGGCAACAAGTGACAATTGCAATTGATGAGCTAAACATTGGACATAATATGCATAGGGATTTTCATTTTGAATTAGAGTTTTCAATCCACCAAACTTACCCCGCATATTACTCGCTTCGTCATAGCCTTGTCCTCTTATGTTTGAGATGCACAAACCATATTGTGTTAGAATGTTCTCAAGAGATTCTTTAAGAGATGATGCAATTGTGTCTTTTACATGAACAAGACCAATAAATCTCTCCAAAACAGAACCATTACTAGCAACAAAACGCACAACAATAGCCATTTGTTCTTTACCAGAAACATCCCCTTGATAGAGTATATCTAGAGAGAAGTGAGAGCTAGAGAGAGAAGTGCAATAATATGCTTCAATAGAATGATTTCGTAACCCCTATAACTACTCCCAAGGGGAGTATTTATAGAGAAAATTAGGGTTGGGCTCCCAAGCCTTGGGCTTGGGAGGCCCATTTACAACTGGACCGCTACTGGGCCGAATACAAAGCCTCTAATGGGCTGTACAAATGAGTAAGTAAAGAATCCGTTTCTGGGAGGTCTTCGTGGCCGACGAGGGCGTGGCCGACGAGGGCGCGGCCGACGAGGGCACCCGAGTTCCTTGGGTTCAGGACCGTAATCTGAGTTGGCCCCTTTTCGGCCGACGGGGGCGTCTTGGCCGACGAGGGCGCCACTCTGTTGTCTTGTGCTCTGTTATTCCGAGTATGTGGGTACTGGGGCTCAGACCCATATACTCCATCAGGAGTCCCCCACTCTCTAAGCTGAGACGTAGACGAAGTGAAGGAGAGTAGATTTCTGTGCTTTGTTACTTTTGGCCGACGCGGGCATTTCCAGGCCGTTAGCCGTTGCGGTATTGGCGCTGTTTCCATTTTGGTGATCCTGTTATGTGCTTTGGCCGTTACCTGCTCCTCGCTGTGGGCGGGGAGGCCGTTGTTTCCTTGACGTGTTCGTTTGAGGACGATGAGTGTCTTGTTCCGATGTCGGGCGTTGAAGGCGTGCTTTCCCTTTCCTGGACGTTGGTGGTTGAAGTTTATGTTTGGGCAGGTGAGGTTGTTCCTTGCTTTGAGGACGATGGCGTCCTTTCCTTTGGGTGGCCGATGAGGGTGCTCGCGCACTCCTTTTGGCCATTGCTGGTTGGCCTTCGTGTTCTTGGCCGAAGGGCTCGTCAAGATTAATCGTTGGCGGAGGATGATGAGTGTCCTTGCCTCTAGTGGCTTGTTGGCCGTCGCTAATGACGTTTTGGGCCTTTGGCCGATGAGGTTCCGTTGTGCTGTGTGGATGTGGCCATGTTTTGTGGTTACCTTGTTTATACTCTTTGTTTCGTTGAGGCCGGTGTAGTCCCCCAGTCCCCCACTGCTTCAGGCCGAGGAGTGCGAGGGGTGAAGGAGTTGCTTGAGTCCCTGGCCGAAGCGGCATCTCCGTAGTCCCCCTGAATCCAACTCTCATGGCGATTTTCTGGCCAAGGTAACCCTGTGGGAGAACCCTTGTGCGCAGATCGCTTGTAGAGAGTTATCATCAAGGGTTATTACGAGGAGCCGAAGGCTGTGGGCTATTTGTCCCCTTTGTTCTGTGGCCGTTACGTTCCTGGCCGTTGCCATCTTCTTATTGTTTGGCATTTGTGATCTTGGCGAGCAAGTGGGACGTTGTGGGCGCTTGCTGGCAGTTGTAAAGCCGCTGAGCGTGTGTAGGCCGTAGAGTCTGATTTGCCGGTGGGCCGTTGATATGGGTTGGTCCTGGCCCGTTGGTGACGTGGTGGCCTCCCAGTGGTGGCCGTTGATGTGGCCATTGGGAGAGTGCCACGTGTAGTGACCGTTGGTGGGGGGGGTCTATAAATACCCCTTCCCCTCCGACGAGGAATCACATTTGCATTCTGAATTTGTCGAAGTGCTGGCCGATTTTCTAGAGAGATAAACTCCCAAGCCTGTTCTTCGTGTTCTTCGTTGTTCGAGGTTAGTGTTTATCACGATCTTCCTGTCTTTTCATACTTTGCTTCCTAGGTAGTTGATCTAGTGTTAGGCGTTTAAACACCTTTACATCTTAAGTTGTTCTCCTTAAGCCCGTAGTAGTAGTAATGAAGAGCTTGAACGAGGACTACTACCCCTACGACGACCAGCCCTCCCCGAGGTCGCTTGACTACGAGGTGCTCGAGGAGTTTGAAGAGGAGATAGAGCGTTTAAGCCCCTACAAATCCGTAGAGCTGATGGACGAGGAAGGCGAGGACGAGGAGTCCGCCTCCTCTTCAGAGGGTGAGGACGTAGGCGCGTCCCGAGTGGTGGACGGGGCGTCCACTTCTGCTGCCGTTCCGTGCCCGAGACCGGTGTCTGCTGTGAAGGGAGCTGCTAAGCCGAAGAGGGTGAGGAGGCCGAAGAATGGGCCGGGCCTCTCCTACCTGGACCTCACCAACATATTCCTGATCAAGCCGGAGAGCAGTGCGGCCGACTATCTTGTCGCCCAGATGTACGTGGGGCCGTTCGGGCGGGTTAGGGCACCCAGGCCGACGGACCATGTTCTACTTCCGCCACCGGGATACTTTGGAGTATACCCGATGAGTTTTGCTAAGGGGTTGAGGTTCCCCCTTCACCCTTTCGTCATTGAGTATCTGGACATGGTGGGGCTTCCTCCGGCCTTGCTGACGCCGAACAGTTATTCCTTGATGGTGGGCTTTTTACTTCGGTGTGAGGAGTTGGGCTTCAGGCCGACCACGGCCTTATTCATGAACTTGTACCAGATCGGCCGGGGAAGCCATAAGAACTGTGCGGCCTATGCTACTCTTCAACAGCTGCCGAGGAAGAGGAGCTTCACGGATTTGCCTACGTCCATTCATGGGTGGAAGAGCAAGTTCGTGTTTGTGTCCATTGGTGAGAGTGGCACCGAGTTCCCCTCTCTCGGCCATACCGGGAGGTTCAATCTCCATGACCCGCCGAAGAGCTCTATTTTGGACGCTCAGGTGGAGGCTTTCCTGGAAGGGGGGCCGAGGAGCGTGAAAGATTACGTCACTGAATACAAGATGACCGCCCTCGGCTTCTTCAGATATCACCTGTATGGAGATAAGGAGGATGACCTCCAACTCTGGCCGAGGATGACCACCACCTTTGAGGAGGCCGATGGCCCGGATTTGGGCATTCCTGCTGAGGCCGATGGTAATTTTTTCTTCGGCTTTCTGTCTTTATGTTTTGTCCTTTGCCTTACTAATCTGTTTGTTTTTCCTTTGTAGACTTTGTCATGGACCGACGTTCCATAATGGCTGTTGCCAAGGCCAAGGCGGCCGAGGAGCTGGCTGCTAAGGCGGCCGAGGCGGCCCGACGTGCCGCTGCTGGTGGGAGCGGGGCTACTGCTGATGCGGCCCCAAAGCCTGCCCCATCAAAGAAAAAGAGACCGGCCACTGACGGCCAGAAAAAGTTGACTGAGGCCGGCGTGAGCGTCTCTAAGAAGACGAAGAGGGCTCCTTCCCCTTCTCCGGCTAGTGAGGCCGGTACTCTTACCGTCCCCAGCGTGGGCGATGGTGGTCCCGTCGTGGACCTTACTGTTGCTGACGATGCTTCCCCAGCGCTTCCTCTCGTCCAGGAACCACAGACGCAGAGGGCCGGCAAGGAGATTGCCGGTGCCACCTACCAGAAGGTGGTAGAATACCCCGTCGGCGGGGGCGTGTTTAATGATCTCGTCCCCGGCCACGTCGTCCTGGCCAAGGCCATGCCGGCCAAAGATCGGGCTCACTTGAAGAAGCTCGAGGACCCGAAGATTTACGAGGGCGGCATGGACCTCCTCGTCCAAGTAAGTTACTGTCCTTATATTTTTGTTTCTCTCTTCGTCTGTGTAGAGTCTTTTGCCTGACCTTTGTTTTCCTTCTGCAGAGTGCCTTTATGCTTATGGAAAGCCATAAGAGGCAATATTGGGAGATAGCTCGCTTGAAAGAGCTGGAGCAGAAGGCTGCCTCGGCCGACGAGGCGGTGGCTTGCCTTGATCGGCTCCGGGAGGATGCCAAGGCATTGCAGGCAAGGGCTGATGAAGCCGCTGCAGCCAGGGACGATGCCCTGGCCAAGCTCGAGGAGAGCAAAAGGGAGATCGAGGAGTCCCACAGGGCGCTCGAGGCCGAGAGGCGCAGGAGCGAGGAGGCCACCAAGGCGAAGGCTGAGGCCGAGGCCGCCGTAGTGAAGGCTGCCGATGAGGCCGTCGAGAAGTTCCTGGCCGAGGGGTGGAAGGCCGATGAGAGGCTCCCCTGGTGCTACGAAGTGGTGGCCGCCAGGCTGGAGAATTGGGGGATGAACTCCCCTGCCGGCCGGGAGTATTTCAGTCGGGAGATGTCCGTTTATTACAACCTGGGCCAGGAGCGGATGCAAAGGCTCCTGTGTCGGCGGCTATCCCGGGCGTTGTAGGCCATGAATTACACATCTGGGTGGGCTAGACGGAACCTGAAGCTGCCAAAGCTGATGAAGGATCCAGAAGAGCAGGCCAAGCTTCCGCTGTCGGAGCGAGAGTCCCCCATAGAAAGCTCCGGCCTCGGCGAGCCGGACTACACTGAATTCGACTTCTTAGACGATGCCACCAGCGCCGCTGCCGGCCCAGAAGCTGAGGCCGATGAGGCCGCCGAGGAGGGAGCCGACGAGGTTGAAGAGCCAGCAGCGGATGAAGGTGCCCCGGAGGCTTGATCGGCTATTCCCTGTTGTAATTAGCTTTTCATTTTGTTGCCAAATTATGTAACGGCCGAAGTGCCCCCAATTGTAATGAACTCACTATCAATTGAAGAAGTTTTTGATGTCCTTTTCGGCTTTGAATCCCTTGTATGGTTGTTTGCTTTGTCATTTCGTTTTTGAAATTTTTTCTCAAGTGTCAAGGTCATAACTTGGGTCGCCCGCGATTGACCGCTACGTCCATGGGGTAGTCCACCCTGTCCGGTGACCTGGTCGGCTTGTTCGTCGTCGTTTAACACTTAGGAATTTTTTCAAAAA